GTGAAATATCAACTCCAAAAAAAGTCCGAAATTCCGATGTGGCGCGCAAGGGTCCAAAAAAAGCGTGAGCACCCCACCCCCTGGCAGGGAACGAATTTCCAGGTACCCTTTTGGACCAGTTCCACAGACTCCCCTACCCTGGGATATACGAAAGAGGAGCAAATAGCTCAATGACGAAATCGAAAGTGCAAGCAGCTTAGGCGGCAAGCATCAGTACAAATCGGCAGCAACTGTGAACTTCTCTTTCCTTGAAAATTGGGGCAAATAGCTCATTGACGAAATGGAAAGTGCAAGCAGCTCAGGCGGCAAGCATCTGTACAAATTGTCGGCAACTGTGAACTTCTTTTTTCATGAAAATTGGAGCAAATAGCTCATCGCCGTAATGGAAAGTGCAAGCAGCTTAGGCGGCAAGCATCAGTACAGATCGGCGGTGACTGTGAATTCTTTTTTTCTTGAAAATTGAGGCAAATAGTTCGTCGACGAAATGGAAAGTGCAAGCAGCTTACGCGGCAAGCATCTGTACAAATTGTCGGCAACTGTGAACTTCTTTTTTCATGAAAATTGGAGCAAATAGCTCATCGCCGTAATGGAAAGTGCAAGCAGCTTAGGCGGCAAGCATCAGTACAGATCGGCGGTGACTGTGAATTCTTTTTTTCTTGAAAATTGAGGCAAATAGTTCGTCGACGAAATGGAAAGTGCAAGCAGCTTACGCAGCAAGTATCTTTACAAATCATCAGTGACTGTGAACTTCTCTTTTCCTCCTTTCAGATTGAAGTCGCTTGCCTTCGGGCTTGCTTGATGTCTCTGGGGAGCCCTTTCAGATTGAAGTCGCTTGCCTTCGGGCTTGCTTGATGTCTCTGGGGAGCCCTTTCAGATTGAAGTCGCTTGCCTTCGGGCTTGCTTGATGTCTCTGGGGAAGATCTTGGCTTGGTTCTGACAGGCTCTACTGTGCCGTTTCATCACCACTCGAGCGAGCTCGTGGTGAGGACTCGAAACAGTTTTGACTGCTAGAATCAAAGTCCTGATGTGTTGTGTTCCAAAAAACCGGGAACCTCACCTCGCATAGAGTTCTCCGCTTAGGCGTATCGACGAACCAGGCGAATAGTGTGGAGCCCACGCCTGCTGATCCCCTTTTGTGGTTGAACGGTAGAGGCGAAAACATTAAAGTCGGGAAAGTCTTTTTTAGTTTTTCTCGCAATGGCGAATGAGGTGAACATCCTTGCCGATGGCTAGTCCTAAAGCATTTATGTAACACCAAATTCACTCGGAGGTGCGGACGCTTTGGAGTTTTTTTTCTTTATGGAATCAACAAAATCGCATCTAGCCTCCACCAAGGGGTGGCCTAAGCTACGTTTTGTCGGTCCATTTGAACAGGCAACTGTTTCGAAACTTTCAAACGCGTATGCTTGGTTTTCATTCCAGAGCAAAGTGGAATCGGAGAGATAGGAGGAATTCGTCCTGACCTTCCGTCCTGCTAGGGCATTTCGGTGCCCAAGCGAGACTGGGGTGAAGCGATTTCCAGCTTTCTCTGCGTTTTTCATTTAAACGCAGTGACTGCTAACGCTTTTGTGAAAAACACGGTCAGCTGAGCCTCTCCTCTTGCTTTTTTCGAAAGGAAAGGGGTGGGGCAAAGCTGATTCGGCTTTCTGAAGCTTGGCCTTGTTTCGCGCGAGGTCTTGCAGTGGGAAGTCGGAAAGAATTAGTTACCTGGTTGATTCTGCCAGTAGTCATATGCTTGTCTCAAAGATTAAGCCATGCATGTCTAAGTATACGCAAATTATACTGTGAAACTGCGAATGGCTCATTAAATCAGTTATAGTTTATTTGATGTTTCTTGCTACATGGATAACTGTGGTAATTCTAGAGCTAATACATGCGTAAAAAGCCCCGACTTCGGAAGGGGTGTATTTATTAGATAAAAACCATCCTCCTCGGAGTTTGGCGATTCATAATAACTTCTCGAATCGCACGGCCTTGTGCTGGCGATGCTTCATTCAAATATCTGCCCTATCAACTGTCGATGGTAGGATAGAGGCCTACCATGGTTGCAACGGGTAACGGGGAATAAGGGTTCGATTCCGGAGAGGGAGCCTGAGAAACGGCTACCACATCCAAGGAAGGCAGCAGGCGCGCAAATTACCGCAATCCCGACACGGGGAGGTAGTGACAATAAATAACAATGCAGGGCCCTTTTGGGTCTTGTAATTGGAATGAGTACAATTTAAATCCCTTAACGAGGAACGATTGGAGGGCAAGTCTGGTGCCAGCAGCCGCGGTAATTCCAGCTCCAATAGCGTATATTAAAGTTGTTGCAGTTAAAAAGCTCGTAGTTGAAGTTTGGTCTCGGACGCTGGGTCTGCTTCATTGCATGTACTTGGCGGTCCGAGACTTCCTTCCTGGTGAACGGCCGCCTTCGGGTGGTCCGGAACCAGGACCATTACTTTGAAAAAATTAGAGTGTTCAAAGCAGGCCATAGGCCCGAATATATTAGCATGGAATA